TTGCTAATAACAAACCAATTTAAATTATGCTTTTGGTGTTTCAAGCTTAGTAAGTTTAAAGCGTACTAAGAACTCAGCTGCATTCTGTTCCCCTATGTGCATCTCCAACTTGAAGATAAGGTTCAGTTACGCCATGTGTGATTGATGGTGTTAAGTGCCACACTTTATTTTTTTAAAACCTCTCTGCTGTGTATTGATTGAATAAAAGCAACACTGATTAAAGAAAATGATGAAAAAAATTCATGCTAGTTTGAATTTATAAAATGAAAAATTAAGCTCCAGATGGAGCCTCTTAATTACCAGAGGAAAACAGGGAATTATTATCATTAAAACTCAAACCTGAGGAGCCTTGGCCCTTTTGGGTATATCTAAATTTCATGAACCAGTTTTTGTTTAGGAAAATAGTCACCAAATGGGATAAATATTTAAAGTTTTCTAAATGTTGCACCTGTCTCTTGTCACTGTGTTTCCCACCGACCTTAAATATTCTGCCAGACTGTACCTGTTAGCATGTTAGACTGTACCTGTGGCAGAGTGCTAAGCCATATGTGCTCTCAGTGGTGTGTCAGAGTTTTCTCTTCTTTTCTGTCATCACATATTTTAGTTTTTGAGTGTGAAGCTAATGTAGATTGTCTTGTCCTCCTTGTTGTGAATGTCCTTGGAGAAGTCCCTTTCCATCCTGGGCCTCAAGGTCCTCTGAACTATGAAGAGATTGTAAACTGTGAAGAGTCCCTTCATTCTCTGAGATCCTATGATTTGGCTGAATATTTATTTATTTATTTTGAGATGGAGTCTTGCTCTGTCTCCCAGGCTGGAGTGCAGTGGCATGATCTCAGCTCACTGCAACCTCTGCCTCCCGGTTTCAAGTGATTCTCCTGCCTCAGCCTCCCGAGTAGCTGGAATTACAGGTGTGAGCCACCCCGCCTGGCTAATTTTTGTATTTTTAGTAGAGATGAAGTTTCACCATGTTGGCCAGGCTGGTCTCAAACTCCTGACCTCAAGTGATCCACCACTTTGGCCTCCCAAAGTGCTGGGATTATAGGTGTGAGCCTCTGTGCCCGGCCTTGAGTGAATACTTTAAAAAGTATTTTTATAGTATAACTTTTATGAATAACTTTTATTTGATTTGAAAAGGAATAACAATATCCATAACCAAAAAAAGACAAAAAATTGCAGCATTCCACAAGAAAAATCTGAACTTTGGCTTGAGTTTCCAGAACTTGTAGTCAAGTATTTATGTGAGTTGTGAGGGGATAAGAGAATTTAGGGTAGATTTATACAGTGTTACCATTTATTATTTTTTGCGGTTTTATTTTTTTCTTACATTTGGTTGGTGTCACCATTTATTCTTTTGTATACTCTTTAGCCTCTGGAGAGGGCATCTCTGTGTTTATAGAAGAAAAATGTGACTCTCATGTTGTACACAGCCCTAGACGGGACATTAAGGTCTTCTAACTGTCCTAGGCTTCTTAGGAAGATACTGTCTTCGTATTTTAATTTGGAATCATACTGGCACAGGACTCGGTATGCACTGTAACTCTTACTATTCTATTTTTTCAGCTTGGATTTACATTGGGCAACGTGGTTGGAATGTATCTGGCTCAGAACTATGACGTAAGTGGCCATATCCATGACTGCCTTGATTCCATGTAACTGTTTTAGAGTGACTTTTCTTTGTTTGAGGTAAGGTGTGACTTCCAGCATAAATGAGGTCCATAGGGCTGAGGCAAACTCCTGAATATTGAGAATGGTTTGCCATTGTTTGAAAAAGTAATACAGCTCATGAAACATCTGTCCTCTTCCGTATCACCACAAGAGGGAAAAATCCCTTCAGTTCAGCTGGGCTCATGAAGATCCTTAGCTGTGGCTTGTTAGCTCAGAGTAATATTAAGTTGGGCTCTTAAAATTCTTAGGGAAATCATGTGATAAGTGAGAATTTAAAGATTAATTGGATAATATTTTCAGCCCCACTACCCAGTAGTAGAGATGACTTAGAATTTTGGAGATGCATCTGGGTAGGGGGACTGAAAAATATAGATCTGTATTCCATCTTCAAAATTCTAAGGGTAGCACATTTGAGGACAGAGTTTTGTGAAGTTGTATTAACCTCGCTTTATAGATGGCGATGTTGAAAACCAGGTGGTACAGCAGCCTACGAATGGGGATTCTGGACAGGTGTTTGAAAAAGACAAGGAAGGGAAACATGATATTGATTTGTCTTGTTGTAAAGCTTTTTGTATGACAAAGGGAATTCCTTTGTCAACCTTCGTTTGAGTCATATAGTTTTCTAGGCAAAGGCTATATTATGTCACATTTATTGTTTATACTCACAACCTTTACTTGGCACCAGATCGAGTGGAAGTGGGTATACAAAAGTAGAAGTGGCTTTCAGAGAGGAGCATACTTATCTGACAACTTCTGATATCTTTCTATGCAGTTATAAGGCTAAGAAATACCACTATTGGCCGGGTTTAGTGGCTCACACCTGTAATCCTAGCACTTTGGGAGGCCGAGGTGGGCAGATTGCTTGAGCTCAGGAGTTTGAGACCAGCCTGGGCAATGTGGCAAAAGCCCATCTTTACAAAAAATAAAAAATTAGCCAGGCGTGATGGCATGTCCGTGGTCCCAACTACTTGCGGGACTGGGGCGGGAAGGATCGCTTGAGCTCTGGAGGTCAATCCTGCAGTGACCTATGTTTGCACCATTGCGCTCCAGCCTGAGCGACAGAGACCCTATCTCAAAAAAGAAAGCAAAAAGAACCACTGTTTAGGAGATCTCTTTCGGAGGAAGATAAAAGCTTGTAAAACCATTTATCTTTGGAGGAAAAGAAGTACAAGAATATTGATTAGGTAGATGCAAAATTATAATAATCTTTTTTCTCTTTAAAGATACCAAACCTGGCTAAAAAACTTGAAGAAATTAAAAAGGACTTGGATGCCAAGAAGAAACCCCCTAGTGCATGAGACTGCCTCCAGCACTGCCTTCGGGATACACTGATTCTACTGCTCTTGAGGGCCTCCTTTACCATCTGAACCAAAAGCTTTTGTTTTCGACTCCAGCCTCAGCACTTCTCTTCTTTGCTAGACCCTGTGTTTTTTGCTTTAGAGCAAGCAAAATGGGGCCCCAATTTGAGAACTACCCTACATTTCCAACATACTCACCTCTTCCCATATTCCCTTTCCAACTGCATGGGAGGTTCTAAGACTGGAATTATGGTGCTAGATTAGTAAACATGACTTTTAATGAGTAGCGTCTTCTTTATTGTTTGCGATTTTTACTACCTTTTGTCAAGAGAAAAACAGATGAGTTTTGTATAGCTGGTCAGATACAAATAATAGTGACTTCACAGTTTAGCAATTATAATGGGTACTTTTTAAACATTTGGTACTAAATTATGTTGCTACAAAGTAATTAAAATTAATATCTAGAGCTAGTTTTTGGTGAATTATTCATTTATTTTGTACTGCTGTTAGGCAGCTCTGTAGTTGCTAATTTAACCAATGAGTCAATTTGCTGTTCATTAACTAAGAAATGATTCTGAGAATCCTGTCAGGAATTGGGGAATGAAAAAATATGCAAAATAATGGTCTTTGTCCCAGTAGAGTTCGTAGTCTATTTAGTGTGCATGTTTTTCCTTAATGATGTATTTGATCTGACTTTTCCTTCTCAGAAGAATCATACTTGGGATTACAGGTACATTTGATGTTATGTGATGGATAAGTGAAAAGTTTTTAAAGGAGATTTTATACCTTTTCACATTAAAAAAGGTATTTGTACTATTACTTTGTAGTGATTCTCTTAAGAAAAAATGTAGCCCAAATGTATAGTAAAATCAGCAGCTCAAGAAGAATTTCTGCTTCTCTTTGTAGTTGATGCTTTGTTTTATCCTGCAGTCAGAAATTCCCTGTATTTGTCAAATGTATAATCAGCTTGTATTGTTTTTAAATTTAAAAAAAATTGAATAATTAACTTTTCCCACAGGACAAGATACAAAAGTAATTTCACGTAAAGGGCCTTTCCCACCCCTGTTCTCTGGCTCCTGGCTCTTCTTTGACAAGTTACTGTTACCACTTTGCCTTACACTTTTGAGAAAGAGTCTGTGCCTAAACAAACATGTGTAACACAAATAGTAACTATACACAGAGGTCTGACCCTCGCTTCTTTTTTTTTAATGGAGATCATTCTATATCAGCAAGTAAGTAGCAAGGAACCTCATTCTTTTTTTGACTGCCTAATATTTTTTTGAATAGATACAACATAATTGATTTAATCTGCTACTGGTGAATGCTTAGGTTGTTCTTTTGCTGTTACAATGATAACCTCATTCCTAATGTTATTAAACATATCGATTCAGGATAGAGCTATAAGATAAAGTCCTGAAAGTATAGTTTAGACTAAATATAAATACCCATTTCATTAGCTGTTTTGTTTCAGAGGGCTTGTTGAGCAGCTTCACTAATAATGCCATTTTTGAAGACATGGCAGGTTCAGAATCAATACATTGGCAGAATTGTGCAGAGCATCTTTTTTCAGACAGTAATGACACTGATTCTGTATGTGATAAAGTGATTCTGCTTCTCTTTGACGAGTTGCATCTCTCCTACATGGAAGTAAGTTTTATTCCTGTCAAGGTTGTCTTTGTGTGTGAGACAGATTAGGATTAAATTATGGTTTGACTTTTCTTAGCAGCGTGATCATGGGCAAGTGGCTTATTCTTTTTTTTTTTTTTTTTTAAGTTTTTTTTTTTTTTTCCAAGACAGAATCTCACTCTGCTGCCCAGGCTGGAGTGCAGTGGCACAGTCTCAGCTCACTGCATCCCCTTCTTCCTGGGTTCAAGTGATTCTCGGGCTGCAGCCTCCCAAGTAGCTGGGATTACAGGTGCCTGCCACCACACCTGGCTAATTTTTGTATTTTTAGTAACGACGAGGTTTCACATGTTGGCCAAACTGGTCTCGAACTCCTGGCCTCAAGTGATCTGCCCACTTCAGCCTCCCAAAGTGCTGGGATTACATGCATGAGCCACTGCGCCCAGCTTTTTTAAACTTTTAGGTTCATTTAATAGGTAAATTGTGTGTCAGAGGGGTTTGTAGCTTATTCTTTCAGAAACTCTGGCATTATCTGTAGATGTGGACGTAAATATCCACCTCATGGGGTTTTCATAAAAAAATTATTGAGATAATGTATGTAATGTTGCACAGTGCTTTGCAGACTATCTAATAAATAGTAGCTATTAGTACAAACTTGTTGCTTTTTGGCTAGTTCTGCAGTCACTTTTGGAATCAGCTTATGAACCACACAAAAAATTTGTCATTATTCTGTAGTCACTGTTTTTGATACTGATGAAAATTTACAGTATCCACCTGGATCATACCATCTGGCTCACAAGATTTGATCTTGAATTGTTAGCGCAATGAACTAGAGCCCCAAAGGATGAAGGTTTACCTTGTGGGTATTAAAAATGCTAGAAGCTTAGAAAGCTGTTTCCAAAGGGAGATTCCTTGTTACCAACCATGATAGCATTGCTATGGTGTATGTGGTCTCCCAGAGTGGCTGCTTTGGGATGGGAGGTCACTTAGCTATTAGAAGTTAGGTCTCTTTGTATTATACCTTATAAACAAGGCTCATTTGGACTTAGGGCTTCCCTTAGGGGTGACACTTAACCTTGCCAAGGAGATCATTTCTACCAGTGGGATCCATCCAGCAGATCAGTTCTTAAGTTCAGCTTCATCATGTGTACTGCTACACAGTGCAGGCTGACTTCGCATTCACCATTCAGATGCCCTCTCCTAGTTTTATGTTCTTGGCAGCAATGAAAAGGACCTCAGAGTTCTCAGGCAAGATGATCTTCACTGAGCTATATGTTGGAGGAACCCAGAACCATCATGGTTTTAGGGTGCAGTTGAAAATCCTTGCTGTGAATGGGGTTTGTGACACTGAAAGTTACCCCTTCCCTGGGAATTTTGTGGGAACCCTTGCCACACAAATCAATGGAGCGGTGGGAAGAAGCACCACAAGAAATGCCTTTTTTTTTCCTTTAAAAAATGTTTGAAAACTCCTACTAATATGGGTAGGAAAACTTCTGCCACATCTGATCATAAAATGAGAGTTGCTCAAAATACTAGTGCAGATCACTCTGACATGTGAAATACAAGACTTCAGGATTGGTGCTGGAAACTTAATAAATACAGTGAACTTGAAAAGCTTATCCCTAAACTGTAATCCTCCCAAACAAAACAAAAACAAAGCAAGAAAAAAAAAAACCTTATTTAAAATTGTCAAAAGAGGCTGAATTTTTTGAAGTTACCAAAATTATATCTTTAGACCTTTCTTCTGATTTGGTATTTTATGTATTTAAGCAGTTACCTGATTCTGATTTAAAGGAGCAATTTTATTTCTTCTTTTCTAACTCATTTACCCAATGAGTTTGTGTGACTGTAGAGAAAAGTAGGCTGTGTGGTTTTTCTAGTTGTCTATACACGTTGCCTCATAGAGCATATATACACATGTGTAATGTTTTCATTTCCACTAAGCCGTTCACTCCCTAGATACTATGCTGGTGTTTGTTTTTCTGCTGAGGTCTCCCACATTTTTAATGCCTTTCTGAGTTACTCCTCCTGAAGGAACGTTATATACTGTACTGGAAGCAAATGAGGCTTTTCTTAAACTTCCAGTCTTGGGTTTTGCATGTAGCATTTCCATTCCTTACAGATGAATGAGTTCTTTTTTTCCCTATTGACTATTAGGGCTTTGCCTTATGGAAAGGAATAGGGTGGTGAAGGGAAAATATTTTGAGATCTTGCCTGGTCTTAATAGGGAGTTTGTGACACTTAGATTTTCAAGTGTTCAGTTTATACCTTTCCCAAATCTGGTTGCAGTGTATTTAGTCAAGCATTGAAGACCTAACATATGGCATGTTTTGCAAGGCACAGGGAAAGAAAAATGAACTGAGAACAGCGAGACCTTCTGGAAATTCCCAGAGTGGGACGCTGCAAACCCTGGGTCCTGGGCCTGCCTGAATCACAGCCTCAGTGGGAGGATCTTATGAAAGGTACAGTGCTGTTGCATCATCTTACACAATTGTACAGGACTGGGACCAAAAAAGGTGCCACGTAAATAGTGCATGCAGTTGTGTTCAGTGTTCGTTCAGTGAGGACAGCCCCACTGAGCTACCTGTGTACTCAGGTGGTCTCGGTTCTCTTTGTGTTCTCATGGTTTTGAGTTTCTTGCTGTCCTGAGGTGATTCTAGTGTTTAGAGACTTTTTCAAATACCGCGGACCCCAAATGTGAAGCCAACTACCTCATTTATTGTATAGCTGAACAAACAGATTTGTTCTGACGTTGGAAGGAAAACTAGCTGCTTTTTATTTATTAAAAGATGGTACATGAGTGTTTGTGATATGTAAATATTAATGTGAAAGATTGTGTACCATGTACTTTATGTCTGACTTAATGGAACTTCAAAGGCAACTTTAAGCAAATTTGATAAAGAATTGACTTAACAATAAGATGCAACTATACTTAGTGACTTTGACTCACAGTTTCATCATCCACAAAATATTAGAAGGTAAAATTAAATTATATTTGCAAGAGACACAAGACTATTAAGGAGGGCTAGAAGTTATCCAACAGTGGAGTGATTTAGATGACAAGGAGTTATTAATCATATCTGCCATTTCCTGTCACTGGAATGGGCAACCTTGCTTGGCTTGAATCTCCAGTTCTGGGAAAGAACAGAGAGCAGTTAGTAGACCAGACTGAAATAAACGCTCTTTCTAAATTGGCTAGTTGAATGCATTCATTACTCGGAGCACCTGGCAGCAGTTGCTGGCACAGCTTTCCCTTCAGGAGTGAGTCAGGTTCTCACATAGTTGAATACTGGCCAGTAATTCTAAGTCCACTTAATTCTAAATCAACTTTTCTTTCTCTTTTTACTTATACTCCCAGAATCTTACTGATTATCTACACCTTTGTCCTACTATCTGACTTAAGGGCAAAGGATCTGCATTCTGTGATGGGTCATAAATGTGATGTTTGGCTCTTCTGATAATAAGATTAACACCCTGACTCTTTTGAAAATTTAAAGCAAATGACTTTAGAGATGTTGGCTGGATCAAATCAGCTGTAGCTTACCTAACATTGGTATTTCATTTGGGCTTGTGAGGTCTTAACTATTACATTGGACAAATAATTTTGGTCTAACTCACAGGGCAGAAGCACTAATGTTCCTGTTAACCCTGGTCAGTCACATTCTGTGGTTGGAGCAGATGTGTGAGGTTGTTTCTTTTGCTCCAAAATAAACTTTACAACTCACGGATGCTTGATCAATTAAGGGAGTGATTTTATAGATAAATTATTATGGGAAAACTGCACGTGCTATCAATAGTAACTTAAAATCACTTAAAACAGTGCAGTAATTGTAGGGGACTCCCTTTCCCCTAAGACATATTTAGCAAGCAACTGATGGTAGAAATAAAAAAATCTGTAATGCCAACAAACTAGAGGGATTGAGAGCTATAGCCAGTCATGTAGCAAGGATATCTATCATGGAGAAAATGGCATGATCTTCAGGAGGAGAAAGAAGCCTTGATTTCCAGACAGCTTTTTTCTCATGGGACACATTTATTGAGCACTTACAGCTTACTACATTGTAGAAGTTGCTGGGGGATTTCAAGAGGCATAGACAGCTCTTCTCCCTCAAGGGGCTCATGTAGGGATGTGTAGGAAGTGACAGATGTGTTTGGACCATTGGCTACTACTTAGTACTTTGTTTTCTCAGGAACAAACTACTTATTATATCCAGAAGCAAGCCAGTGTAATATAATAATAGTGCTGTGGTCTTAATTATAGTTTTGGTGTCCCTTATAAGACTGGTAGGAAAGTTTTCCCTCCCTCCCAAAACTTAACCAAGGCAATAGATTTGTGGTTAGTGACAGGTGGAGAGAGAGATGTTAATCTCAATGTATCTTCTTTCTTGACTTCTCTTTCCTTTTTTTTTTTTTTTTTTTTTTTGAGACGGAGCCTCGCTCTGTCGCCCAGGCTGGAGTGCAATGGTCCGATCCCAGCTCGCTGCAGCCTCTGCCTCCACCGCACCCGGCCGACTTCCCTTTCCTTTGACTAATAGAACAACACCAGCCTTTTTCTGAAAGGGAACACTATATCTTTACGGGAATTTGGTGCCAAGGTAAAGGGGAGCCATTGAAGAGAGATGCTTAACAGGGAATCAAAGTAGTGATGAAAGAGTACTGATTGCCATGAAGAAGACCTACTAAGAACGCCTTCTTGTGGAGGGAACTTAGGATAGAAGCACTTAAGAGAAAGGAGCTGATGGCCGGGCATGGTGGCTCATGCCTGTAATCCTAACACTTTGGGAGGCTGAGTCAGGTGGATCACCTGAGGTCAGGAGTTGGAGACCAGCCTGGCCAACATGGTGAAACCCCATCTCTACTAAAAATACAAAAAACTAGCTGGGCATGGTAGCACTTGCCTGTAATCCCAGCTACTCAGGAGGCTGAGACAGAATCGCTTGAACCTGGGAGGTGGAGGTTGCAGTGAGCTGAGATCGTGTCACTGCACTCCAGCTTGGGCAACAGAACAAGACTCCATCTCCAAAAAAAAAAAAAAAGAGCAAGAGAGAGGAGCTGACAATTAGGTTTCAAGTTCTGGGTGAGGTTTCCCCCAAAAAAGATGTCACTGGTTTCACTCTGCCTTGGTAGGATGGCTTGGGTATCTTCCACTCCTAAGAAGGTATTAAAAATAACATAAAACCTAGTGAGTTTGCACGGCTTAGCCTCTGAAGGCAAGTAAGACAGGCCTTCTTTTCCTGTCTTCAGAATGAATGGATTACAAACACTAGATACAATTTTAGGTTTTCTTTGTCTTCTTTTTTTAACTTAATTTTTATTTTCTTTTTCTGTGAGCCTATGGTTGTATTGAAACTTTAGGTTTTCTTGAGCTGTGGTGCTGAGGGCGAGAAGAAGACACTAACAGCTAAGCATGTGTTTGTGGTTGTTGGAGGATTCCTGCAGTTCGCTTGAGGTGGTGGAATCTTCTGTTGGAGGGATGCCCTCCGGCGTGGGTCTGGGGTTGTGTGCTCCTGGTGGTCCTAGTGGTTTTCTTTGCCTGTGGTCCAGATTCTGCTGGGTACTGGCAGCTCCTGTGGTTGGGCCAGTTTGTGTACTTGCATTAGGCTTGATCAGTGATGTTGCTGACCCTCGCCCATACTGGGTAAGTGTCCAGGTGGAAGAGGCTAACTCCCCAGGTGTTGATGGCTACCATTACTATCACCAATCCAATAACGTTGACTCCCAGGCCAGCTTTCACCTACAGGACACAAACCAGCACACCCTAGTCACTCTGACCAGCAGCAGCACAGATCCCCAAGTCCCCCTTCTGCTCCCGCAGCCTATGCCTTGTGGCCCAGATTAGTTCCCAGTGCTGTCTGGTGTGCTCTAGCATTGCCTTGTAGGGTGCACAGGACTGTGGTAGGGCAGGAAGGGGACAGTTAGAGTCATGTCCACTTCTTGCTCACAGCACTCTCACTAGGTTTCAAGTGGAAGCCTAGAAGGTGTGTTAATTACTTGGAACACCCACTCTACGGAACGTGAAGAGGTATTTCTGCAGCTCACTCTAAGGGAAATGTGCTGAACAAAACTAGCCAGATCTCTGTAAAGCAGGAACTTCTCAGCCCCTATGCGCCAATACAGGGAACTTGTAGGAGGGGCTATATTACATGAAGCCTTTGCTACTGTTACCTTTTTTTAAGGAACAGCTTGTGGAAACAGTGTACCTTGAGTTCACCTGGGGAAACAGTTCAGCTGCCTCTGCTCAGCTCTTCCTCAGGAAGGAGACACAGGTGTGCTAGCTGGAGTGGGGCCTTTGCGTCTTTCCTCTGAGGGAATTACACCTCAGTGACTGACCCTTTTCACTTCTGCCTTGACATTGACACTCACAGGTGAAGTGGGGGAGGTGAGGGATGATGGGCTGGCAGAGCCAGATGGAAAAATGTGTCCTGTAAGGATAGCTGGCACCCTCCCAATGAGTAACCAGGCATACAGCGTGTAGCCAAAACAAGTCACTAGCTGGCATTAAGTTGGGAAAATTGCAAGGGGAAAATGGATACTGGGAAATTGTTTCAAGCAAATGGCTAGGCATGTCCTCTCTCTCCTGCTGTCTGGTGAGGGTCCCCTGGGCATTTTGGCATGGTGGACAGTCCATGTTTCCCCACAGGTGTAAGGGCAGGTTCTAGCAGGGCTAAATTAAGGAGTGTTAGAGTTGAAAGGGACCCCATGGAGCATCCAGCTGGAGCCTCGTCATTTAGCAGATGAGGAAACTGAAGTCAAGGTCGTGCCCAAGCTGGGAATAGAACCCAAGACTGCCTCACTTCTTGTCACCTGGTACCTTTGAAAATTACTGCCTCTGATCATTTGATTCCCGTGTAGAAAGCCAGAGGTCAGTGGTGGGGACACACAGCAGAAGAAGCGGGAGATAGGAGAGCTGGGGTAGAGCTCAGTGTGAGCAGACTGAGGGTTACTCAGTAAGATGGGAGGGGAGAGGGATGACTGGGACACCCCATTCCAGGAAGTATCACGGATGACTTAGATGAGCAGTTTGAATAGTCAAAAGGACCTGAATAGGCTGGGTGCAGTGGCTCACACCTGTAATCCCAGCACTTTGGGAGGCCAAGGCAGGTGGATCACTTGAAGCCAGGAGTTCAAGACCACCTGACCAACATGGTGAAACCCCATTTCTACTAAAAATACAAAACTTAGCTGGGTGTGGTGGTGCACACCTGTAGTCCAAGTTACTCTGGAGGCTGAGGCATGAGAATCACTTGAACCCAGGAGGCAGAGGTTGCAGTGAGCTGACATTGCGCCACTGCACTCCAGCCTGGGTGACAGAGTGAGATTCTGTCTCAAAAAAAAAAAAAAAAAAAAAGGACCTGAATATCTGCCACCAGCCTGAAACTTCTTTCTTTCCTCTATTGCTTTACAGGGCTGCGAGAACAAGTTTGGCTCCCATGAAAAAAAAATTGTAAGACCATCAGTAATTTGTATCAGTGTTTTCCATCCTCTCCTCTACCCCCTCAGCCCTGGATATTAAGTATAGCAGCATAGTATACATAGTATAGTGTATAGGTAGAGGAGCAGAAGGTAGATAGACCTAACACTAAAGTCAGCAGCAAAATATCTCAAAGCCATCGTTTGTGAGCCCAGCTGAAAATGAAAATGAATGGTGGATGCTTCATTTTCCATTGTTGCTTCAGGGGTTTCTTGCCTGGGAGGTGAGTTGAGCAGAAGAATCCTGTTTTCTCAAAATACCTTTCACCCTATGTTCATACACTTTCTCATTCTCATCTTTCTGTGAATAAACCAGTAGCTTTCTCAATGAATGTCTCCACTGGCCTAATGAAGAAACGAAGGCAAAACTTTGCGCAGGCTCATGCCTTCTGGAACTGGGCAACAGCCTGTGTGTTCCAGCTTTCTCTACCTAGGTACCCACTTCTTTCCAGGGAAGGGCTGGGGAGAGCACATTCTTGCTATCCTTGGTGCTTACAGACCAACCAAAAACCTTTTTATAAGTGCTGTTCTTGCTACCACACTGGGTTAGTGTTGACAGGCCAGGGACACTGCTACAAAATAAGCTTTGAAAGAAGGCTGCAGAGCTGGTCATCCCTGTCCTCATGGCAGCTGGGCCTGGCAGGGAGAGGCACCCCAACTCACCATATCTTTGATCTGGCAGTGCCCATAGCTGAAGACGATGGCATTAGGGGGATTGCCCACAGGCAGCATCACTGCAAAGGAGATGCACATGGTGACTGGGATCAGGGTGTAGAGGGGGTTAATGTGCAGCGTTTCAGACTAGAAGAGAGAATTCACAGAAACATTTCACGAGATTAGGCTTGCATTTCCTGTGCTTAACGTAACGAGCATGCTTTAATGATGACTTGGTGCTGGCTAACCTTAGCAGGACACTATGTGGAGGGGTAGTTAGGTCCCTGCCCTCGGGGGCATGCAGTGCCCTTGGCAACCTGAATAGGCTGATGCTGCTCACTTGCTCCACATGGAAATGTGGCTTTGAGTTACTCCCTAGAAGGGATGTTTGATTTTTTTGGTGTTATTCTAAGGAAGTGGTTCCTAAACTTTATTCTTTAGCTAAGACTTCCTTTCCTTAAACCCAAATCTCATGAATAAGTTGCTTTGATTGAAGTGGGGATCCCTCAGTCTTAGGGTACAGAACTAAGGTGTTTTTTTTTCCTAGGGAAGATAATTGTTTTATATGGGATTTGAATCCATGGTCCTGCTCTCAATGTTGCCAAGTTTTAACTGCACTCTCTTGCTCACACAAGCAAGATGACGGAAGGGAGAAGTTGGGGTCATCTGAGCAATGAGCAGAGAGTGTGGGGCTGGGGTTAGAAAGAGCAGTAGGAGACTATGTTGCTGGGGTGGGGAGGGGCCTTCATCTCCTGGATTCTGCCTCCCAGAATGGGACAGATGAAGCATTGGGTCGGATGCATCACCTTTCAGGCTGCTTGGCCAGGCTAAGAACTGGCCATTGCTCCCCTCCCCTATTCCATTCACAACAAATTGGTCTGAGGCTGTGGAGCAAAGCTGACCTTGCTCCCAATCCTCAGAACTTCCCGGAGGACAGTGAATCTCAGTGGAGGCTGTGATGATTGTCTGAGTTGTGATCTCAGTCTTTGCAGCTGTGTGTGTTTTACCTCCATTTTCTGTGGCTACCTCTTTGGCCCTACTCAGGTTTTATCTCAGGAGAGAAAGGTTGATGATGATTGCGGGGAATTGAAATGATAGGGTTTGAAGATTATTTTGTATGTTCTTTGGTTTCTACTCAGGGCTGCCCCTAAACTAATCCTACTCTTTTGGACAAGGATTTCTAGAACTCTTGCTGTGATTTATTAGTGAATCCTTTTATTTGCTAGTTGCTATTTGAAAAACTTCATTTTTCAAAATGGGAATTGAACACCAATCAGTGAAGGCTGTGGGCAGTAACCAGAGGAGAGGCTACAGCCACAGAAGCTGCCCTGAGCTAGGCCTGCCACTCCAGGCCCCTGGGACAGCCTGTTTGGACATCTGGGAGCCCCGCGCTACTCACCAGGCTGCACAGGATGGGCAGGAAGATGGTGATGGTTGCTGGGTTGCTCACAAACTCAGTGACAATGGACACAAGGATGCATGCCAGCAGGGTGACAGCCCATGGCGGGAGGCTGCTCAGGGACAACATCTGGTTCCCTATCCATGTAGAGAGGCCAGAGCTCTGTAGGAAGAGGTGTTACAGTAAGAAGAAAGGAGGAGAAACACATCCCAGCTAGAGTTCTTAGAATTCAGAAGGTCAGGGATGTTGGAAGGCTGGACCACCAGGGATCCTCTGATCTTTAGTCTGAATGGAGCCAGAGGGGTTCATGATTTTTATGATTCGATCATTTTTGTAGCTCAGAAAATTGGTTTTTATGATTGTACAACATTTGGTCTTTCGGTTTCATCATGGGGCATGGAGAGCCACCCACCCTAATTGCCATGATCCTTCTTAGGACTTTGCCATGACAACTTGTCAGAGGTTGGAGATCTTTGCTCCTCAACTTCAATCTCATTACCCTTTCTCTAGCCTCTGACATCCTTACCCTGTGCATTGATTCGACAATGCCCTTCACAGAGGGCCAAGTATGGCCCTTTATTCAGCTTTTGAAATCAGTTTATTTTGTTACCTAAAAACGGGAAAAATGTATCAACATCTGTAGATAGTAGCCTTTCCTGTCTTTTTAGGGAGACGAACAGGCAGAGCTGAGCACTGGAGGTTTTACAGGAGTAATAAAGTAGAGAGGGATAAAAGTATATTTCCATTTAGTGGAGAAGGTGCCTCCTAAGTGCCATGGAGGCTGGTCATTCAGCCCCAACCTGTTTTAGGTTCAAATCCCATCGTGGCTGACATTAGTTCTACTATCAGGATTTTTTTTTTTTTTTAATTAAGATGAGGGTCTTGCTCTATTGCCCAGGGTCCAGGATGAGTGCAGCGGCATGATCACAGCTCACTGCAGTCTCAACCTCCCGGGTTCAAGCAATCCTCCCACCTCAGCCTTCCAAGTAGCTGGGACCACAGGCACATGCCATCATGCCCTGATCTTTTTATTTGTAGGGGCAGAGTCTTTCCATGTTGCCCAGGCCCGTCTCAAACTCCTGAGCTCAAGCAATTCTCCCACATTGGTCTCCCAAAGTGCTGGGATTATAGGCGTGAGCCACCTCACCTGGCCTGCCAGTGCTTTTTGAAGACACAGATACGAAGGCATATTGACCATCCTGAATTTATTCCACTAGCAACAGTTACACACATCCACTTAAATAAATGAACATTCTGCCTGGGTGAGGTAGCTCACACCTATAATCCCAGCATTTTGGGAGGCTGAGGAAGGTGGATCACTTGAGGTCAGGAGTTTGAGACCAGCCTGGCAAACATGGTGAAACACTGTCTCTACTAAAAATACAAAAATTAGCCAGGCGTGGTGGCACGTGCCTGTAATCCCAGCTGCTCAGGAGGCTTGCTTGAACCCAGGAGGCAGAAGTTGCAGTGAGCCGAGATTGTGCCATTGCACTCCAGCCTGGGTGACAGAGTGAGATTCTGTCTCAAAAAAATAAAAATAAAAATAAAAATAAATAAATATTCCCACTTGTAATGATTCATTTGGTTGTAAGATGTTCACCTGCAAATAGGGAGGGCTATTTCCGTCTCCTACAAAATGAAAGGTATCACTGAGTATTGTATTAAAAATTCCAGGTTGCCATATGCATCCTGCCTCCCTTCCTCTGTCTCTTCTATGTTGACAGGCTCTGCCTTTTCCCATGGTACCGTAGAAACTGCAAATATAATGACGATATGGAGAGCAGGGGCAGAAAGCAAGGTGAGACATTTATGATTCCTCAAGCTCTTAAGTCCTGCTACACATGTTTTACTCTTAAAGACCTCCTTCCCTACACTGTCAGCATGTTACTTTTTCTCCTCTCTTCCAAATTCATCAAAAGCTCATTTCATCTCTATAGTACCCTGGCTACCTCCTGGCGAGCTCATAGACAACTGACAACCAAAGGCCTTCAGAATTCTCTCTGTTGTAGCCACTTCACCTTGTAGAACTTTTCTTCCTTTTCTTCCTCTCAACTGACTGAGAGCTTACAAACCCAGTCTGTGCAGACTGCATCAATTAATGCTTGTTTCAGAGCCCCAAGGCCTCCAGGAACTCTTTAATTGTTCCCTCTGGTAACACATTAAACCTCACTCATTGGACAGAGGCAGGGGAGGAAGAGCAGTTAGTTGAGTGGAAATGGTACATTATATAAAGAAATAGAGTTTTACTTAACATGTTATCCAAATAGTACTGGTAGGTAAAGTGAAATAATTTTTTTTTCTTTTTGAGACAGAGTTGCGTGCTGTCGCCCAAGCTGGAGTGCAGTGGCAGCATCTCAGCTCACTGCAACCTCCGCCTCCCAGGTTCAAACGATTCTCGTGCCTCAGCCTCTCAGGCAGCTGGGATTACAGGCGTGCACCACCATCCCTGGCTAAATTTTTTTTTTTTTGAGAGGAAGTCTCACTCTGTCGTCCAGGCGGGAGTGCAGTGGTGGTGCGATCTCAGCTCACCGTAACCTCTGCCTCCCGGGTTCAAACGATTCTCCTGCCTCAGCCTTCCAAGTAGCTGGGGTTACAAGTGTCCGCCACCATGCCCGGCTAATTTTTGTATTTTTAGTAGAGACAGCATTTCACCATGTTGGCCAGGCTGGCCTCAAACTCCTGGCCTCAAGTGATCCTCCTGCCTCAGCCTCTTTTAAGTGCTGGGATTACAGGCGTGAGCCACAATGCCCGGCCTAGTGAAGTGAAATCATTTAGTGGCAATCATTTTTCCAGCAGAACGATTTTATACTATAATTTGAAATAAATTAGACTTCAAAGTTAGAAAAAAACACAATCAAAGGAAGTCTCAATTTTTTAAACTCTTGTTATGAAAACATTTTACAGTGGATTTTCTTCACTAATGTCAAAACTGAAATTATTTCAAACTCAGTAGGAATGACATATGCTACCCAAATTATTACTAAAATTAGCAGAGGCATAGGCTTTACGGAAATAACTGTACTATCTCTAATATGTGCACAATTTTTTTTTTTTTTTTTTTTTTGGTGGCAGGGGATAGGGTCTCCCTCTCTCCCCCAGGCTGGAGTCCAGTGGTGGGATCTTGGGTCACTGCAGACTGCAGCTTTGGACTCCTGGACTCAAGTGATCCTCTCACCTCAACCTCCTGAGTAGCTGGAACTACAGGTGCACACCACCACACTGGGCTAATTTTTGTTTTTGTAGAGATAGGATCTTACTATGTTGCCCAGGCTAGTCTCAAACTCCTGGACTCAAGCAATCCTCCCGCCATGACCTCCCAAAGTGCTGGGATTATAGACGTGAGGCACGGTGCCCAGCCCAATTTTGGTTAAAAAAAAGTAAAACATTGCCAGGCCAATCTTGTCAAAGGCCAAAACTAACAACTGAAATTAAATAAAGATAAATATAAATATTCCGAACTTGGAATGAGAAATATTGATAGCATATATATAGGATGGGTTGAAAGTCTAGTAATGATGAACAGTTAAAAGAATGAAGCGTTCTAATTGACTGCAGTTGTAATATAATTGTTGACATGAGTGCCAAGGATGCTTTATAAAAGCTTCCATAAAAATGCAGGGTGCTGCTTGAATCAGAGCTGAGAAATGGGGCTTGGGTAATGTAACTACTCTGCTTGGCAGTAGACTGGCCACCCCGTGGACCATGTTTGAATAAGGCCAAGTGTAGTGAGTCCTGAGGAGAGAGACCCAGATGGTATGGGTCACTACTTCTTGATTTTTTCATGTTAATAATTATTAGCTAGGAGAGGGTCCCAGAGAACAGAGCTAGAGCCAGCAGTGGACAGACAACATGCAGAAGACCTGAGCTGAAAATAAGGAACAACTATTCTTTGTTCCCTGCACAGGCAGTACCTTGTCACTGGAAGTGTCCAAGCCAGAGGTGCCATGGAGGGAAATCTCACCATGGGCAGGAGATAGGACTCATGCTTTCTAAGGTTCTCCTTAGTGTAATATTCTGTGACCTTCTTATTAATAATGCAGATAGTATTTTAGGCCATCAAAAGTGAACCAAGCCGGGCGCAGTGGCTCGTGCCTGTAATCCCCAGTACTTTGGGAGGCCAAGGTGGGCGGATCACTTGAGGCCAGGAGTTTGAGACCAGCCTCACCAACATGGTGAAAATCCGTCTCTACTAAAGTACAAAAATTAAGCTGGGTGTGGTGGTGTGTGCTTGTGATCCCAGCTACTTGGGAGGCTGAGGCATGAGAATTGCTTGAACCTGGGAGGCAGGGGTTGCAGTGAGCCGAGATGGCGTCATTGCACTCCAGCCTAGGTGACAGAGCAAGACTCTGTCTCAAAAAAAAAAAAAAAAAAAAAAAAAATGGGAACCAAGTTTAGCATGGGATAATGCACGTAGACAAGCTGGAGGGAGAAATAGTCTGAACCTTAACCTAATTCATTCTTAGGACTCTTTTCTATTTTAGGGAAGGCTAACACTTTAGGAAATTCAACCATCCCCTCACATCCCCACCCCACTTAAAAGATCTCATCCAAACTCCTCCCAATTAGAAAATCAAGAAGCATTTACATCAGCTTTAGCCTAGATTTTCCAAAGGGGCTCAGTCTATGTATTGTGGACAGATAGTTCACCATGTGTCACTTGAAATATCTCTGGTCCCTTACAGAGTTCTCCTATTACCACTCCTATTACCGATGTCCATCTCCTGTTACCATCTCCTATTGCCACTGTCAAATCCCAGAAGGAGATGGCTACAAACTCCAATAAACCTTTTGCTTATAGCAGCATGGGCCCCATAGATGAAGTATCGATGCCCATGTATCATGATTGTGTGGCACAGCCGATCTGTTCCTCTGTTTCCAGTAGTGCTAACTGAGAAGCTTAGGGCAGGAGGGGACATCCATGCTGCTCTATTGCTTCCCTTCCCAGGGACTCGGTGAACATCTACTTCTCAGGTCCATTGAGTCTTTCCTCCCATGCCCATAATGATTCATTAGGTAAAGATGCTGGAAAAGTATTTCACCCATAAGAACAGAAATCAAGCCAGGCACAGTAGCTCACGCCTGTAATCCCAGCACTTTGGGAGGCTGAGGCAGGTAGATCACTTGAGGTCAGGAATTCGAGACTGGCCTGGCCAACATGGTGAAACCCTGTCTCTACTAAAAATACAAAAATTAGCCGGCATCATGGCGCACACCTGTAGTCCTAGCTACTTGGGAGGCTGAGGCAGGAGAATCACTTGAACCCAGAAGGCAGAGGTTGCAGTGAGCTGAGATCATGCCACTGTGCTCCAGCCTGGGCGACAGAGCAAGACTGTCTCAAAAAAAAAAAAAAAAAAAGATTGGAATTCAAGAATTACCTTGCTACCAGAAGCCAGAGCATAGCCTCCCCCCACCAGAATGACAATCTCCCAGGGCATGGTCTTCTGGAAGTCCTTCCAAGTGATGATGGGTTCGGTCCCCAGTGAGTGCTCCTGATTCTCTCCTGGATTAGAGAGAGATGTAAAGCCAGATAAACCCTGATAGGCGTGATTTGTGGAGATAGGAACCTAATTGGTGAAGTGGATGATTTGGGATACTGCTATTTCGGGGGGTGGGAATCTGAAGGACCTTGGTAAATCTCTTTGGGAGTATTAGTCTGATTTGGGGATTCTTCAACTAGAGCCACCCCCAGTTTCTTCCCTTGATCCTTCTCTCACCATCATTCTTTTTCGCAAAGCAGGGCTTCTTCGCTGGAATAAGGAAGAGGAGGAAGCCAAGGAAGACAGACACTGTGGCGTCAGTGCGGTAGCCTTTCCTAGTAAAGAGACAAGCATCGCTGAGGAGAAGGGTCAGGAATTTTCAGGAGTAACATGATGTCTCGGGGCAGTCTGTGCAAACACAGTGCCTCTTTTTAGGACTTAGTCTAGAGGTGAAATTAACCTTAGTTCTTGCCAGTTGCTGCCATGCTATCCACAGTGGATTTAATGGGCAATGGTGAATGTCTGGAAGCAGGGCCTGGCTAGAGTAGATGTCTTGGTGTGAATTTGTGAGCCCGTTAATTGGGGCAAGTCCTAGAAGGAGTGATCAGGAGTGAAGATGGTTAGATAAAGGAGAATAGAAGAGGATGAGACCTCTTTCCTATGAAGGCCACACCTCCATGTGCCTCCCTTCTCAAGTGAGAAGTTGGTCTCTTTTCTTTACAGTTGGTACTTTATAGATGTTTTCTCCTTTAACTCTCATAACCACCTATGAGGTAACCAAGCTTCTAAGAGCTTATGTAATGAGACCACTTGCAGCACTGGATCCCAGCCCCAGACCAGGACTCCAAAGGGAGTTTTTCCTTCCTGATCTCACACTGCAGCCTCCCTAAAAAGAGTGGATTCCCCAGGGAATGAAATCTTCCTGGCTTCATATCTTCCCCTGAGAGTCTATGAAGGATGCAAGTAGTTCTTGCCTGAAGAATTGGGGTGAGGGAGTTGTTCTTAAGGAGGAAATTATATCACTTACTTTTCAAAGAAAGAATCCCAGCCAGGGACAAAGCCAGGCTCCCGGGTAAACCACAGTACGGTCATCAGGATGAAGAAAAATCCAGTCACCATTTCAGGGTAGCTATAAAATAAAACAGAAAGACCCACTCAGGAACTGAGTAATTTCTCCTAGCTTTTTCACTTTGCTTCTGGAAGCTTCTGTATTTAGAGTTTCAATACCCTAGACATAAAACACACTCACTGCCTAACCACTGTGAATGGCTGACAGTGAGATGAGGAGAAGACTGAGTGGCCCCAGAAAACATGACATTAACCATGTTCCCTGGAGAAACTTCTGTGGAAAGGGCAAGAGAACACAGCACTGTACATTTATAAAATAATTTCAAATACAGCCTACAAGGAGAGTGCCGTGAAATAGGCACCCCCAAACACTGTGCTGGTGGGAAGAGGAATTGCTACAACCTTTTTGAGGCCATTTGATGATATACATCAGAAGCCTTAAAGTTGGTCATTCCCTGGCCGGGTGTGGGCTCACACCTGTAATCCCAGCACTTTGGGAAGCGGAGGCGGGCAGATCACGAGGTCAGGAGATGGCGACCATCCTGGCTAACACAGTGAAACCCCGTCTCTACTAAAAATACAAAAAATAGCCGGGCATGGTGGCGGGTGCCTGTAGTCCCAGTTACTTGGGAGGCTGAGGCAGGAGAATCACTTGAACCCCAGAGGCGAATGTTGCAGTGAGCCAAGATTGTGCCACTGCACTCTAGTCTGGGCGACAGAGCGAGGCTCCATCTCAAAAAAAAAAGTTGGTCATTCCCATCATCTAACCAGAAGTGCATACTGAGACATTTATTACCTATTAAAAAATGGAAGCATCCTGTATATCCAATGATATTTCATACACTGAATACATTTTGATACAACTCTATGTTAAAATGAGATGCATCTACTGATAATCCTGTTTCCACAGCAGAGTTAAGGACATGGAACATATTGTACACTGTTGAGTTGAGTACAGTGTTGAGTTGAGAAAGGCAAGGTATACAATGGTTTCGGTGTGGACTGAATTTTACCAAAAATACATAAGAGTTTTGCACAAAAAAGCATGGAAAGAAGTGTCAACATTTGTTAACACAGGGTGCTAAGAATTCAGTCAATTTTAATTTTTTTCTTATACTGTCTTGTATTTTTGAAATGTTCTACGATGAACATGTATTCCTTTTATAACTTAAAGCTTTAAATAAGACAGTGTCTACCTGGATTGTGTTATGCAAAGTTGTGTGTGCCAATTGCCATAAAAGGAGAAATAGCACTAAATAGGAAGCTGGGTCCCTGTGGAGAAGCTGATAGAAGTGGCTGAGGGTTGGTTAGAGATTTCTTGGGCCCTCGGTCTCCAAGTCTGTCTTTGATACTGCTTTTTGCCCTAAATATAGCACAGCGTCTCCCATCTCCCTGGGAGTGATAACTGGACCACTGTGGTGGCATGTCTGAGCAATGAGAGGAGGCCTGGCTTTGGAAGGAATTCACATTTTCCAAGAGGGTGACTGTGCTGTCTTTCCCTTCTTCTGCCTCCGTCTGCCCCATGGTCAGCACTCCACCCCATGCCACGGCTATACCTTGGACTCCAAACGGAGCAAAGGGAAAGGGTGGCCACCTGAAATCTGGGCCAGCTTGGCTTTGGCATTAAATAGCATCTTCTAAATGCCTGATTCAGAGTTGTGGAAAATTCTCCCAGTGTCAGGGGCTGTCAAGAACAAGGCTCCTCCTGTGCTCACTTTACCTGCTGTGTTTCTGCTGGAGGAGGAGAGAAGAGGAATGGCTGATTTTTACCTAATGTCTCCCAGCTTTTCATATTCTTCTTGGATCCTCTTCTCTGACAACTGTTCCCTTTTGGTCTTCTTCTTCTTGCTCAGAGAGCAGGTCTCTTTAAAACTGAGAGGGGAGAATGAGCAAATGATGAAAGAAAACACACTTCTGAGGCCCAGAGATCAAATATTAGGTATTTACTAAACCACTCGCCTGCTGCAGTCACTTTTCTCCTCTTCACATGCTCTATCCCTCTATCCCCCACCTATTCATACGGCTTTTATCTGCCACATTATCCGGACCCTCATCAACCTTGTGCCCTAGACTATTGGGGATATCCATCTGGGTCTGTCTCTGGTATATTGGTGTGAAGTGATGTCTCAAGGACTTGTGCACGTGTATTCGCGTGGGGTCGTTTCTACCTACTTGTCTTTTACATAAGTAAAATAATTAGTGTAATGTGGTATATGTGTCTAGGTATATAAACTACAACTTTTACTCCACTATGTGTCTAGATGTATAACTAACATTTTTACTTCAGAGAAGCTTTGTCTCTAGCCAAACACACACACAAACATCTGCATATATGGAACACACAGTGTTAGTTTTATATTGGCAATACTGGAGTTAAGAAGTATATAGACGTCATTGGTTTGACAACAGTCTGAGTAAAAAGAAAAGTCAGAGAACATTTCTTGACCAATGGGAGCATATGGACTAATAGCAAAACATTATATTATCTTCCCTTTATGTGTTTGAAACTGATCAAATTTGGAGTAGACTGACTTGTTATTTTGAGGCATGTGAGCATATTTTATTCAGGCTACTAAGTATAAATCACCCATGCCTATAAAGTTAAACCTAATGCAAATTCTACTTGGAGTCATATTTTTTATTTCTTATTTCTTGGAGTAATTGGAAGTACTCTATATGCTTTGAGAGCAATAAAACGACATTAAATACTCTTCACGTCAGACTTTGTATAAACTGGACAGGCTCTCTAACCATTTAGTTGGAATTAAGAACATTTCTTGTGGAGCTGAGAGTGAAGTACAGAGTTCACAAATATTTAGAATGTCTAGAAGAGACAGCGCCTGACTCTCAGTCCAGGCCACTGCATTCTCCTTGGGCATCCTCTGTGGTTACCTAGCAGTCCCCCTTGCACAGAGCCATCCGGGGCCCATGCCATGGCCTTTGGATCAACAGGGGGGCCTCAGTGCTTTGCTGAAAGGGCCCTGGGACTCACTTGCAGCCTAGGAACAGCCAGTGCATCCAGAACCAGCTGACCACCAGCATGATGAGGGATATGGGGAAGCTGAAGAGGAACCAGGTGCCAAAGTTCACCACCTCTGCGGCTGGATACTGGCTGGAGGGTAAAGAAGCAGGTCAGCAATTAGAAAAGGGAGGGTTTCCATATGGTATTTTGGGGTAGTATGCCAAATGCTCCCTAAAACATACAGCTGGGCTAAGTGGGGAGATAATGATAACAGTATGGTAAAACATTGTCTACAGACTCATTTAGTTGACAGTTGCAACTGTAGAGAGCCCAGACAAGAATCATGAAACTAGCTAAGAAAAGGAATCAAAACAACTAAAATTCATATTGTTAAAGTGTATTTACTTTGCACTCAAGAGAATGACTCAGGACGTATTTGCCCTTAAAGATTCTGCTAAGTTTATTCATCTGGTTTTCAAGACAACAGAAAAAGGAGCAGCTTGGTATACTTTGTTTCTAAAATCACCAAAGGAATGTAAGTTTTGACTGGGGGACACAGTTCTGGAGAATTTGAAGCTCTAGGGCTTAATGAAGTTTTTAGATATTACAGTGCCCATAAGAGAACCAGGACTTGCAATCTCCAAATCTTTATTAAACATCCACTGGTCTCAGGGTAGAGGGGATTTGTTTGGCGAACTGCTCATTCATCAGCAGGCAGAGCTGTGGCTCCCCAGCCCAAGTGTTGTTTCCTGTGGAGCCTGGATGGACCAGGCCGTTTGAGCCATGGCTTTTGCCTAGACAAGGCTCAGGCCTAAATGACCTACGCTGTGTTTTCCCTGGGTGTCTGTTTTCGGGGCTGGGTGTAAAACTCCTCTAGGTGTGAGACATCCCTCTATCAGTGATCCCTTCTCGCAGATCTTTAACTTCCCTCTCATCTGGATCATCCCTACCAGCATTTAAATGTCTCCCATCTTGAAAACTCCTTAACTCCTTCTTGACCCTGCTTTCCTTTCCTTTTTTTTTTTTTTTTAAATTATTATTATTTTTTTCGAGACAGAGTCTTGCTCTGTCGCTCAGGCTGGAGTGCAGTGGTATGATCTCAGCTCACTGCAACTTCTGCCTTCTGGGTTTAAGCGATTCTCCTGCCTCAGCCTCCCAAGTAGCTGGGATTACAGGAGCACACCACCATGCCCAGCTGATTTCTGTATTTTTAGTGGAGATGGGGTTTTGCCATGTTGGCCAGGCTGGTTTCGAACTCCTGACCTCAGGTGAGCTGCCTGCCTTGGCCTCCCAAAATGTTGGGATTACGGGCATGAGCCACAGTGCCCGTCCTCTACTTTACTTTTATTATCATCCCACATCTCTCCTTCCCTTCACAGTCAGTTCTCTATTTTCTCACTCACCAGAATCCTCAACTCACCAGAATCTGGCTTCTCCCACCACTTGACCAAGGTCCTCTTGCCTACATCACCAGTAACCTCCATGTCACCAAATCTAATGGATACCTTTTCATCCTTACTTTGCATCATCATTCATTGACATTAAATATTGTAGGCACTTCCTTTTTCTTGAAATACTTTCCTCCCTTGGGTAGAGTGGCACTAGATTTCCCTTTCCTCTCTGCTGTCTGATACTGTTTCCTTCTGTCTGTTAAATATGTGAGCTTTATATTTATGTCCTCTGTTCTCCTTACTCTGTATATTCTAGGTAATTTCCTCCACTCCTGTAACTTCCCGTACCAGAAGGCAAAATGAATATGTGGCCCCTTTACCCAAAGGTTATTATGAATATCCAGGCAGGGACAGCAGAACATTAAACCAAGCATGACGCCTGTCTGGGCATGGTGGCCCGTGTCCCAGTACCGGTGGCATGCCCATGGCCCCAGCCCTGCAGGCTGCTCACTTCAAATCTATGCCTTCAGCCTAAACATTAATATTTCCCTTGAGAGTCACAGGTCTGTTTTCACCTGGACATCTCAGCCTCTATCCCACTTTTTCGAAGACCCCATTCCTCCTCTTTCCCCTCTATTCCTTCACCTGCTGAGGGCAGGGGCCTGAGAGGCGCAGACAGCCTTTCCCTCTCTCAGGCCCTGTCTAACCTTCCTGAGACCCAGCAAGTGACCTCTGAGTTTCCCTCAAACCTGACTGTTCCTCCTCCCCACTGCGCTGTCAGCCAAGCCACCGGCTGCCCTGGACAACTTTGCAGCAGTGTCCTGAATTGCCTTCCTGCTGTCTGCTTTCTCCTTTCCAATCTGTTCCCCCCCCCTTTTTTTTTTTGTCTTTTTCATCCAGAATGAGTTTTCAAAACTATAAATCTGACCACCTCACTAACTGCTTAAAATTCTTTAAAAGCATCTCAAAGCCTTTCAGATGTGGTCCAAGTTCCTCAGTGGGTCTTGCCAAGCCCTGGAGATCTGCCCGTGCAGCTCCCTGGCCTCCTCTTACCCTCTGTCGTTTTCTTTTATGTGCTCTGCTGTCCTGCCTCGGAGCCTTCCTACGCACTGTTTTCTTTGTCTGGATAATCTCCCTTCATCTAGTTTACTCCCGTCCTTCAGGTTTCCACATGGTCACCTCTTTAGGGAGGCATTTCCTCCCAGCAGATGGGCGAGCTCCCTGAGCAGGGCTCTCCCTGCAGAGTCTTAGACTTCTCCAGTCTCACTTAGCTCTAATGACTTGATTTTCCCCTTTTTTTTCTTTTTAAAATTTTTATTTATTTATCTATCTATCTATCTATTTTTTGAGATGGAGTCTTGCTCTGTCACCCAGGCTGGAGTGCAGTGGTACGATCTCAGCTCACTGCAACCTCTGTCTTCTGGGCTCAAATGATTCTCCTGCCTCAGCCTCCTAAGTAGCTGGGATTACAGGCACCTGCCACCATGCCTGGTTAACTTCTGTATTTTTAGTAGAGATGGGGTTTCACCATGTTGGCCAGACTGGTCTCAACTCCTGACCTCAAGTGATCCACCCGTCTTGACCTCCCAGAATGCTGGGATTACAGGTGTGAGCCACTGTGGTGGGACTTTTTTTTTTTTTTTTTTTTTTTTGAGATGGAGTCTTGCTCTGTTGCCCAGGCTGGAGTGCAGCGGCACGATCTTGGCTCACTACAACCTCTGCCTCCTGGGTTCAAGTGATTCTCCTACCTCAGCCTTCTGAGTAGCTGGGATTACAGGTGTGCACCACCACACTTAGATCATTTTTGTATTTTTAGTAGAGACAGGGTTTCACCACATTGGTCAGGCTGGTCTAGAGATCCTGACCTCGTGATTCCCCCGCCTCAGCCTCCCAAAGTGCTAGGATTACAGATATGAGCCACTGTGCTCAGCCTGTTTTTCCCTCTTTCTACAGAAACTCTTCCATTCTCATTTTCTACCATATCTCTAGCACCTAGTCCAGTTCCTGACACACAGTGGTGGTTAGTAAATATTTGTTGACCAAGTGAATCACTTACTTGTTGAAGTGTTCCAGGAAGATAAGGCTGGTGGAGGTGCCGATAATGGTGGTCAGGCCGCCAATGGTAGCAGAGTAGGATATGCTCAGGGAGAGGCACTTGCAGATCATCTGGTCATGGTGGGACCTGTACTTTCTGTTCAGCTTCTGCTTCCTGGGGCTGGGGGTCAGGACTTGTGGCTTTTCCTAACAAAGGAAAATCAGCGAATCTCTCCATCCCGGCTTGGGCTCTCTGGCCGAAGCATGAGAGGCAGGCAGCACCATGGTACAGCGGAAAGGGTTTGAGCTTGGGTGTCAGAAAGATAAATCACAGTTCCTATGATTTATCAACTTGGGCATGCATCAGAGCTACAGTTTCTTCTCTGTAAAATGGTGGAAACCATATTTTCTCTGCTGAATTGTTGTGAAGAGTAAATGAAGTAATATATGTATAGCACTTAAAACACTTCCCGGCATTTAATGAATGGTAGGCTATTATTATTTTTGTGATTAATGTTATTATTGACAGCATGGCTTTTTATTTGAACTCCAGTAAAACTGGTGTCGTTCCACATTGTATTTGAACAACAAACAGATGTTATTCCTGTAGAGTTAGAATGACAGGATTTGGCCTTCCCCTCGGGCCCTTTCTAATCCTACCAAGACCCATCAAGCTACCTCTGAATCTCTCTCAAGTCTGGCCATTCAAGTCCATCAAGCCCTGATGGAGAGATGACTACAAAATACACCTGGATTATATAAAAACCCTAGTCTTCATTGGGAAGAGGGTTGAAGTGTGATTCTTTCCTCCCTCCCTTCCTCACTCTTTTCTCCTTGCCTGACTTTTCCTTTCTACTTTTTTCTTCCCCCTTGCAGATAAACTTCAGCTTAGTTGTGGTCCCCTCTGGCCCTGCTTGGTCCAGATGATGGCCTTTCAGGGTCAGAGAGGTTGCTGAACTCTGGTCTCAAGTGTTGCCTGAAGAAGCAAGTCCCTTCTGTTCCCTTCACACCTGGCCACCTTCATTGATTCTTCATGAGACTAGGAAAGTCCTGGTGCAATTGTCAGCAAGTCAGGTCATGAAAGAACCAATGGGGAAGTGCCACCTTGCCATATCTCTCAAAGCCCTTTCCCACTGCCCCGTCTTCCTCGTGGGGCCGAAGTATGTCTGGACCCTTCCAGACCTCTAAAAGATCCATTGATTATCAGAGCTGGAAGAGACCTCAAAGATTCCTTGGTCCAGTGGTTTCCCACAATCCTTTCTTCTAGTGAAATTTTACACAGAATAGTATAAGTGTAGCAATTGGATACATCTTTTTTTTTTTTGAGATAGGGTTTCACTCTGTTGCCCAGGCTAGAGTGCAGTGGTGCCATCATAGTTCCCTGCAGCCCTGACCTCCTGGGCTCAAGTGATCCTCCTGCCTCAGCCTCCTGAGTAGCTGAGACTACAGGCATGTACCACCATGCCAGCTCATGTTTTTACTTTTATTTTTAGTAGAGATGAGGTCTGGCTGTGTTTCCCAGGCTGGTCTTGAATTCCTGAGCTCAAGGGATCCTCCTGCCTTGGCCTCCCAAAGTGCTGAGCCACCGCACCTGGCTGGCATGCATCCAATTTTGTAATTGGAAGTATATGGATGGGTTAATTCCATGGGGTCATGGAGGCTTGGATTTGAATCAGAATGCTCCCCTACCTAGTTCCTTGGCCTTGGGTTATGATTTCATCTTTGCCTTGTTTGCAAAACTGGAGCTCAAAATCGCTACCTCATTTAGCCAAGACCAGAGAAAAAAATGCTGAGTGCAATGATTGGTACATAATAAGCATTTAATAAATGGCAGTTATTTATGATGATGGACATTAAACAAGTGAGACTGTTGAGATGAACCCAGACATTTGAAATCAAGGGTCGTAAGTGACAGTTGCTATTTTATAGAAGCCCTAACATTCATTCATTTGACTTCTGCATTTTATTTCAGAGGAATCGTGCCAGGAAGATCATTATTAGTTCAGAAAAGCAGTTGCCTTACAATCTTAGGACACTCAAATAAAATATTTGCAGTGTCCCTGAAGCATTTTTGAAGACTAGTTTGAGGACCTCTGATCTACACCAACCCCCAGCTTTTATAGTTGAAGACACTGGGGCTCAGGCAGTGGACTGTCTTGCTACAGTCAAAGTGAGCTTGATGTCTCATCTCCGTGGTGCACACAGGCCAGACATGTATGTGGGGAATGAGTGCCTGGTGACAGCTCACTAGCCTGACTCCGTTACGACTTCAAGGCCAGTGCCCTTGGGAAGCAGCTCACAGCGTTTCATGTAGGAAACAGGGCCAGAAGGGGCCGTTCTATTACCTGGGATGAGTGTTGCTTCTTGCCCTGGTGTTGGTTTGCAGTTTTGATGGGGTTGGTGCTCGAAGGCACACCATTCAGGTTCTGTTGGGACAAAGGCCATCTCACTGTTAGGAAGAGGAAGTGGTGAGTCAGGTGCCTCGAGAAGGACCACCTAATCATCCCAGGGCCACCCCATGCCTCAGCACTGTGGGAACCAGACAGAAGCCAGGGGGAGCATGCACCCCGCTCAGCCTGGTGTCAAGCTCTCCATTTGAAGAGGCTTTGAAACTAGGCAGAACGTGGCTCTGCCCTTAGAGGAGAGGCAGCCTTTTTGGGACTTTATTAGCTAATGAAGAACCCTTCATATAAAAGATGGAAAAAAAAAAAAAAAGAAAAAAATCATCACAACCAAGTCCACAGTTTTTTTGTTTGTTTTAGAGACAGGGTCTCACTCTGGGTTGTCCAGGCTGGGGTCAAACTCTTGGGCCACAGTGATCCTCCCGCCTCAGCCTCTCCGGTAGCTGGAACTACATGGGCACACCTTTGTACCCAGCTGAAGTCCAATGTTTTATTGGCCTCTTACACTTCTCCTGAAAAGATGTATAACCAGACTTGGGGGAGTGAAGTAAGTTCGAGTAACTGTGTGCAGGTAAATTCTGCTTTCCCCTGTAAATGTGTTCTTTTTATTTTTATTTATTTTTATTTTTTGAGATGGGGGTCTCTCTGTGTTGCCTAGGCTGAAGTACAGTGTCACGATCTGGGCTCACTGCAACCTTTGCCTCCCAGGTTCAAGTGATCCTCCTGCCTCAGCCTCCCAAGTAGCTGGGATTACAGGTGCCCGTCACCACTAATTTTTATATTTTTAGTAGAGGTGGGGTTTCACCATGTTGGCCAGGCTGGTCTTGAACTCCTGGCCTCAAGTGATCCTCCTGCCGTGGCCTACCAAAGTGCTGGGATTATAGGCATGAGCCACCATGCCCAGCCAATGTGTCCTTTTTAATAATAACATTTTGTCAGTGGAATCCTCAGTGAAAGGAACTCTAAGGTGGATCTGTGGCTGTTGAAAATCTGGTTCTGAATCTTGGGTTTCCATGAAGAAGTGCTGAGGGATTTTCAAGTGATTCCAAAGCACAGAAAAACCCCAAGGTCATACCTCATTGTGCATCAGAGTGGTGAGGTCTGCGGTGGACCTGCTGGAACCAAGCAGAGGACACAGGAGCTACGTCAGTGAGGCCAATTCCTGGGAGGGGAGGTCCCCCTGCATCAGGCATTTGGTGTAAGGGACTTAAACTCTCTGGACTCCAGTTTTCTAGCCTCCAAAGAAGACTAATCTCTCCCTTGCCTTCTGAGATGCTGTAAGGATTAGTGGGGCCGGGGCCGGCTTCCTTCTGAGGGCAGGGGCAGCACTTTCCTTTGATATTAACGATAGTCCTGACAGCAGACGTGGAGTGGTCATTAGATACAGAGTACATATATATGGGCTTTAACCCCCAGACATTGTTAATCCTCATCACAGATCTATGGTACTGGCATTCATACCTCCATTTACACCAGTACTTAGCACGGGGATGCTAAGTGGTGGAGGAAGGTAGGAGTCCAGGAGTCTGTGTCTCTGGAGAGCCTATGCCCCCTGACCATGCTCTTACTGGCTGACTCTGGGAAGACCACTATCTAGAAAGGGGAACTTGTGATATGCGTATCTGAGGTGACAGAAGCAAGGAGGGCCTGGATTTTACCCAGGGAAAGTCGAGGGAGAGGGAGAGTGTGGGGGAGGGGAAGAACTTCTGATCAGCAAGTACGCTTCACGGGGTGAGTGTCTCCCACCCCTGCTGGTCCCTTTGCCTTGAGGACAGAAGAAGATGAGAACTTGGCCATCAGTGTAACGGACACACTGAGTGATCAGTGAATGTTTCCAGTTTGTCTTAGTTGCGAGGACAGTGGGTGCCACCAGCTCAGCCACTGTGAAGACGGAGAGCGTATTGGGCACACACATGCGGGATGTGGGTCCTGCGGCCACAGCCCCTCTCCAGGCTCTGCCAGGGAAGGATAAGAAACTCACAGGGGTGCAGAGGGAGGTGTTCTTTGGAGTGAGTTCTTTGCCTGGGAGAAAAATGTGCTGTGATGTTTCCCCTTCCTTCTTCCCAAACTGGGTGAGGAGGGCGGGCGAGGACCCTCAGGTAGCAATGGGAGGCAGTGGCCGCAAGAGTGCTATCTGCATGCCCAGCAAACGACCCAGTTCCCACCAGCACAAAAGATGCTTAGAGTTCTAGGGACAACTCAGGCTTCTCTTTTGGAGGACACATTTTTGTGTGGAAAAGAGCAAAGGCAAGAAGCCAGCAGGGTGATGCCAGAGAGGCCACAGGGAGGAGAAAAGGCCACAGTGAGGATGGCCTTTTCCTGGGTCATCTGGGAAAGGCCTGCCCAGAGGCAGAGGCAGCCCCAGCACAGGGGCTGTGGGGGAGTGAACCTCCAGAGCACAGGCCCAGGAGGGTGGCGTGAGTGTTAATCCCAGAGCAAGGCCCTGCCATCAGGCCTAAGACCCTGCAGAGGGCACCACAAGGGGATGCTTCAAAGCCCCTGAAGGCAGTTGCCCCACAGATGAAAGAGCCAGGGACTGAAATCTCAGAGGGCACCGACTGTAGACCTCAATAGTCCCCGTCCAGACCTTTCTCACCCCTTTATCTTTCCTGTACCCTAGAGCTGCTGTCGTAAGCCCGGAAAGGTCAGAAGCAGCAGAGTGAGGGCGGGGTTAGAAGAGGAGGAGAAGAGGGAGGTGGAGGAAGGGAGAAAGAAGCTCAATTCCCTCCCCCACTTACTTTCACCTTCTTTCTTCTGCAGGCCTAGGGGGAGGGGTGGGTGGGTGTGGGAGAAGCTTTGGATGAGAAGTTGAAGTTTTGATATGAATCTGGACTAGTCTCCCAAATGTCTGAACATGAGATTGTTATAATACCTGAAAGGAACCAGGAGAGCTATGGGATTTGCCTGAGATATCATCAAGGGTGATGTCATCAAGAAATCCAATATGCTATGATTGAAGACAGTGGTGGTGACAAATAAAGCAATTTCCTGATGGCACCCTTCCGCATCTGTCCCACTGCGAATGCTGATTTCACCTAATGTGTGTTCTCCTTTTTTACAAGGGCGAATGACAGAGCTGAGCTGTATTGCAAATCCAGCTTTTAAATGTGGACTATTCATTGTGGCATGCCTGTGGGCCACATTTTGAAACAGAATCTCCAAATGGAATCAGCTGTTAATGGAGCTTCCTCCCAGGAATGTCTGAGACTGTTTCTCCTTTTCCAGCTCTGCTTCCCATCATCACATGGCCCTCTCACCTCCTGTCCCCTCATCCCCTACCTGTCACCTAAGTTTTCTTTGCCATATCTAACAAGACCAAATCTACTAAGACCTTATCTAATATCTAGAAAATATTTCATGATTCTCCAAGAATCTGCAGTGACATCGATATGTGAATGGTTTTCCATGAACAAATTAAACATATTATTTTCCTAAAAGGGACATGAATTTAGATGAGATTCTGCATGGTGGCTGTGTGGACAGTTCATATATCCATGGAGATTCAGTGTGGCCTTTTTATTTCTTCCTCATCACTGCAACACTGTGGTTAAGGAAGTGACCCTCCAGGTCCTGACAGGTGGCTCCTAGGTGTGGAGAGGAAATGGGGGAGGTGGGGGGGGGGTGACAAGGTGGTAAGCTTGGACCGTACATCTCAAAGAGCTGTCTGTGGGTCCAGGTCCCATCTTTTCTGACCTTCCCTATGGATTCTGAGAGGCTCTGTCTGGGAAGAGGGCAGTCATACTCACTCTTCATTGACAAAGACGAGTTCCAGAGAAGGTTGGCTGTTCTTTACATCCAGACCTACGAGTAGCAAAGAAAAGCAGTATGTGAGAGGTGGAGGCTGGGACGACCCTGTGGGATGGAGCGTAGCTCGAGGGCTTAGGGTGGGGGTGGGGCATGTGGAGTGGGTGACATTTCTCCTTCCCTTTGCTCTGTGAGTAGAGTGGGGCTCATGGATGCAGACTGACCCCAGGGTTTTGTAGTGGTCCTTGAGCATTTGGGGGCAAAGAGCAGTGTGTACCCTCGAACATTTAGGGGAAAAGAGTCCATAAGTGAAGGCGGAAGGAAGAGCCAGAACAGGGAGTTCAGGGAAGCTTCAGAGTCCAAGAGCTGGGATGGGAAAGAGGAGAGAGGGAAGAGGAAGAGGAAGGTGGGGCCATGGCTGAGGGGGTCCTGGGGTGGGCACCAAGTTGGGCAGTCTCCCCAGAGGAGCCAGGCGGGAGGACCCCAGGGGAGGTTGGAGGAGCAAAGGAGAGATGAACTCCAGCAAACTGTACTGATGGATTTGGCCTCTTCGGTGTTGGAGTTGGCCGCCACGAGCTGCTCGTCCTCAGCACTGACCAGCTCCTGCAGCACGGCCTCCACGATGGGCATCACCATGGCGGTGGTGGAGGTGTTGGACAGCCACATGGACAGCAACGTGGTACAGCACATGAAGCAGAGCAGCAGCCTGGAAGGCAGGGAGGGTTGGGGCAGAGTGTCCACAGAACACACATCCCTGCGGCCCCACAGCGGGCCTGCTGCCAACCTGCTGGGGCTGGTCTAGACAGATGTGGCTGGAAAGGCAGGCGATTGTCCTGCAGGGTGCCATTCAGCTCTGTACTCCCAGTGCTTGGCACAGCATAAGTATTAAAGCAATACTTGTTGAATGAATGAATTACACTTCATGGACTAGCGGCCTTAGCCAGAAAAAAGTCCTTAGTGAAGCTCTAGTAGTAGTGCCATAGGGTATAGACTCACCGTTGCTTTTCTGTCTCTGCAGACATTGGCTGGAGCTTGGTGGTGATGTGTGTTTGTGTGTGGAAGGGAATTCTTTGTTTGCCCTCGCAGTCAGTAATTCTGTAGTGCTACGGTACTCCTTGCTTTGCTGCCAAGTCACCATAGTTATCAGTGACCCAATAGAGATGAATGTTTGGAGCTCACAGTTCTGCCCACTACCTGTAAACATGCTGAAGGGATAGCCCCCAAAGTCACAGAAGTGTCCCCTGTCACTGTTTGTGTACACTTTTCCAGCTGACATTGTAAAGCGTCAACACTTGGAGAAAAACACTAACAAGGATAACCTTCCAATTATTTCTCTTTGGCTTTGAGAACATTGTGCAATATGTGCCTGTACAGACATGTCCTAGTTTCCATAAGATAAGCCAATATAAAGACTACTGTGTTTATTATTTTAGGTGGAATTACTGACTTTGCACAATTTGGGGACAGTGCGTTTATCATGTGGACTCCGTCAGCTGACAGAGACATGACTTCGCCGATTCTGTACCCACACAGGTAACTGCCTCGGGGGGTGACAACTTGCTGACTGATGTAAATAGGGAGGAGTGGAAATACGAGAGGATAAAAATTCTTGCCCGGGCACAGTGGCTCATGCCTGTAATCCCAGCACTTTGGGAGGCCGAGGAGGGTGGATCACGAGGTCAGGAGATCAAGACCATCCTGGCTAACATGGTGAAACCCTGTCTCTACTAAAAATACAAAAAATTAGCTGGGTGTGGTGGCGGGCACCTATAGTCCCAGTTACTTGGGAGGCTGAGGCAGGAGAATGGCATGAACCTGGGAGGCAGAGCTTGCAGTGAGCCGAGATCGTGCTACTGCACTCCAGCCTGGGCGACAGAGCAAGATTCTGTCTCAACAAGAAAAAAAAAAAAAAATTGAAGAAGAAAAAAAAAATTCTTGCAGAGAGTACACAGAGATTTTAAAGAGCCACAGAGTCTCCATATGATGTGACGAAATGCCACTGTGTGCCTGGGAGGTTGAGTGTGGGGACAAGATTATTACTGAGCTAGGGGGTGGATTAAGCTGTAGTTAGCAGACCTGTTTGACAATCTGGGAGACAGGAACATGCTTTTAAGCATAACCTATAGTCATCTAAATGACTCGTGTTGAGAACCAATACTATATTATTTATTTATATTCACATTGACTTCCATAGGAGTCAGAGCAGCTTACATAAAATATAGCAAGTAAGTTGTAAACTAGGAGGAGGTGAGCAGGATATTCCCAAAGGGAAGGTACAGGCAGGGGAATCCAAATGGAGCATCAGTGAAGCTAACACAAAACTCAACCTTGACACCGCAACACATTCCCCGAGGGTGGGACCCCGTCCTGCATCACAGTCAAATGCAGTGTCTCTAACTGGGTCTGTGGTTTGAACTGATGACAAAATCTCAGGGTGGATGGGAGGAAACATTCACGTCTCTTTAAGTGACAAAGGAGAAGACAGGCACTTCCGCTCCAGCCTGTTCCCTGATACACAGGAAGCAGGCTGGGAAACAATTTCTATTGGTCCATCCTGTTTTACTTAATGGGCCCCTATATGTTGTAAGCTGCTGCCCTTGCAGCCTAGGTCAATGGGTAAGTTCTTTGGATAATGATAGCAAGGTCACAGGCTCAAATTTCTACTCCATAGCCCTCTCCCTGGACGGGTCCTATGGCTCTGATGTCAGCCCGTCCCTGTTGGTGAAAAAACAGGCTGACGTGGACATCCGCAGTGACCTGAGACCACTGTCCTGGTGGCACACTGGGAGCGAGAAGGATGCACTATAGCCTGGCATCCCAAATAAGACTTACATGCCCGGCTTGGCTCCCGCCATCAAGACCATGCGCAGAGCGATGCGCTTATGCAGGTTCCACTTCTCCACGGCAGCCGCCACGCAGATGACCCCCACCAGCAGCAGCGTGGTGTTCTTGAAGTACTCCGCCGCCACCTGTAGGGAGGCCAGGCAGGTCAGCCACCCTCCTGGACCAAGGACCCAGGGCCCAGCACCAGCTGGGAGAATGGGCCATACCCAATCAAACCTGTTCTCAATCAAAGAAGCTGGCGAACAGGAAGCAGGGAGGTGACGATTATCGAAATAGCTGACCATCCTAGAGTCATATCTACTGAGCGTTTACTGTGGGCAGGCACTGGGCTGAGCACTTTACAAAGATTATTTCATTCAATCTGGCCAGTAACTCTAGAGGATAGATATTCTTCTCCATTTTGGAAAACATAAAACCACTGTATTTAAATATGATGTGAATATGATTTTAAAGAATAAACACATATAATTTTATATTGATCTTTTAAAATAACCCTAGGTTTCTCCCCAAACCTAATTTTTAATGTTTTTAGAAAACATTAGAAAATTATTTTCATTTCATTTCTATTAGAAAATTAATACATGCTCAGTATGGAAAACTTCAAAATATAGAAAAAGTTAAAGACAACATTATTACCCTTAATCATGCTACTGTTAATACTTATAGTTTCTTCCATTTTTCCTATGTCTATATAGTTACATAAATGGATTTATACAGTATGTATACTTTTATATCTTACCTTTTTTTCATTTAACATAATATCCTCATCATTTGTTTTGAGAGTCTCACTTATTTTTTATATTTTTTTGAGACGGAGTCTTGCTCTGCTGTCCAGGCTGGAGTGCAGTGGCGTGATCTCAGCTCACTGCAACCTCCACCTCCCAGGTTCACACCATTCTCCTGCCTCAGCCTCCCGAGTACCTGGGACTACAGGCGCCCACCACCGCGCCCGGCTAATTTTTTTTTTTTGTATTTTTTGTAGAGATGGGGTTTCATTGTGTTAACCAAGATGGTCTCAATCTCCTCACCGATGGGGTTTCATTGTGTTAACCAGGATGGTCTCATCTCCTCACCTCGTGATGTGCCCCCTTTGACCTCCCAAAGTGCTGAGATTACAAGCGTAAGCCACTACACCCAGCCTTAATTTTAAAAATTTAAATAATTCCCAATAATTCTCAAGTTCCAATGAATTCCAAAAATGAAAATAGTACAAGGAATACCTATATACTCTTTTTTTTTTTTTTTTTTTTTTTTTTTTTTTTTTTTTTACCCTGAACCATTTAAGGGTAAGTTACATAAATTTTGGCTGGTCCTTTTCCCCTATATACTTCAGTGTATATTTTCCTTTCTTTTTTTAAAAAAAATTTGAGACAGGGTCTCACTCTCTCACCCAGGCTGGAGTGCAGTGGCATGATCACGGCTCACTGCAGCCTTGACCTCCCAGGCTCAGGGTATATTTTCTAAGAATAGGGATTTTCTCTTCCTTAGTAGCCACAATACCAATTATAAGCTCCTTTCTACTTTTTAATTTAATGATGGCGAAGTTGAGACACAGGGTAGTTAAAAAGATGTTTCACATGTTTGAGGTTCATGGACCACATCTTTGTTGATTCTCTCACTTGGAACGTTCTCTCTTTCCATCTCTGCCTGTACATTCCAATCAGATTTTGAAGCCCAGTTCAGGCCTGGCACCCTCCAGAAAAACCTTTCTTGTGGCCCTAGCCTCTGACTCCAGAACATTCCTCCTGGGCACCATTAATTCCATACACCACAGAGCACTTGGAGCAATGCTTGACTGATTGCTTTCTGCTTGTACCGTTGTCCATTTATTTTTGTATGTGTACCTCTCTTGTCTCTCAACTAAATTTTTTGGCTGTGAATGGTTCCCTTCTATACATCTTAATACCCAGTAGAATAATATGCAAAAGTAGAGGCTCAATAAATATTTGTCACATACATGAGAATTGCTTCCAGCTGGAGGAACCATGACAGAAATTGAGAGGAAAAGATATAGAAAAGATTAACGTCTAATTGAAAAACCCTCTTGAAGTGAGAAAACAAGAACATTTTTAACTGCAGCAAAAATAAAAATTCAACAGGAAAGGAAATATATAGTAAAATACATAGCATTTGAAGTAATATGTACATAATCATACTAATTTTGATTACTGAATTAACAAAAATTGTGATATGAGCATATTGGGAGGATGGTCATGGAAGGCGAAGTAGGGGATGTAAAAGAAAAAATCTTCCTGGGACGTGGAGCTTGCAGTGAGCCGAGTTTGCGCCACTGCACTCTAGCCTGGGCAACAGAGCGAGACTCCGTCTCAAAAAAAAAAAAAAAAGAAAAAAAAATCTTCATCTGCTATAACAAGAAGTCAACTGATAAATGCTTACAGTGAGAACTCAAGGACTGATATAAGAATCTCATATAGGAATGGAGCTTAATGACAGAAGAAGCTGTTAACAAAGTTACAAGTTATTGACTCTGAGGGTGGGGTGGGACTTGCTAGGGGGAGAAGTGGAAGGGATGAGAAAGAGACTGCTGACTTTTCATTGTAAGCGTTCAGTATTAAAGTCTCTGATTTTTAAACTTTGTGCACGAAACACTTTGATAACATCAAAACCAAAATAAAGGCAGGCTGCTCCATCTCCTTTTCTTTTGCCCCGTGGACATTTCATTGCCTCTGGTTGATGAGGGTTGTGTAGGAGAAGGGACATCTGCTCTCGCTGTGATCATTTTCTGGGAGGAAGAGCCCCTGCTTCTGGTTAACCTAGTTCTTGTCTCCAATCACATTCCTCAGCGGACTACTGTCACGAATGCCCCCTGGGGGCAGGGAAGGCCCACTGCTCTGGACAGCTTGTGACTCCATGGCAGAGTCCACTCTAAGAGGGCGGTGATCATGGTCGGCGGGGGGTAGGGTAGGGTAGCGTTGGGGGATGGGGTGTGGTCGGGGGAAGCAGCCCCCTAGGGGGAGCGGGAGGCACTGCAGGATTGTCCTAGGGAAGCAGCTGAACTTGGGGGTCAAGGGCCTTTCTCACTGCCTGGTTACTTTCCCAGGCTTCCAGGAGTTGGCTTTGTCGCACAACCGGAGCTTTATTTTCTTGTCTACCGAGGAGAGAAACCCACAGAAGATGCGGGACTGTTGTGGGAGATGGTCTTTCCACCAACCCCATGACACAGCCCTGCGAAGCTTTTTCAGTCAGTGCAACTGGGGTTACTTTCCCCAGGGACTGACTGACAACAGCTACGTTTTCTGCCTCTTTAGCATATCCCATTCTAGAACAGCGGTTTGGCTGTGATGGCCTTTTAGGAGACTCAGTGCCTAAATGACAGGTAGGCCACTTTCTCTGGGTTCCACTTGGAGGCAGAGGAAAGGAACCAAGAATATGGAGAGGCTTCTAGTGTCGGCATTTTGCTTGTTGCATTCACTTTCTAATTTGAACTCCACAACAAGTCCTATGAAGCAGCACTATCCGTATCTCAGTTTACTGATGAGGAAACTGAGGGTTTAAGGAGCATCTCTCAGGTCATAGCGTAAGGGCAGAGGCAGGATATCAATGCAGGGCCATCTGAATCCGAAGCCTCCTAGACCGCCTGCCACACCGTGAGCTGGCTGGAAACCCCCCATCTGATTCAACTCTAAGGGGATTTTCTTGGTCTCCCAGACAGCATGAGCTGGCACACATTGCTTGTCGGGTTTTTTGTTTGTTTGTTTGTTTTTGTTTTTTTGAGACAGAGAGTTGTTCTGCAGCCCAGGCTGGAGTACAGTGGCGAAATCTCAGCTCACTGCAACCTCTGCCTCCTGAGTTCAATTCTCCTGCCTCAGCCTCCCAAGTAGCTGGAGCTACAGGTGCTTAGAAAAACTAAGGAAATCACCTCAGTGAAACCACTACACCTGCCTAATTTTTTTGGATTTTTTTTTTTTTTTTTTTTCAGTAGGCATGAGCTTTAACCACGTTGGCCAGGCTGGTCTTAAACTCCTGACCTCAAGTGATCTGCTCATCTGAGTCTCTCCCAAAGTGCTGGGATCACAGGCAAGAACCACTGCACCCAGCCCACTGGTACACATTTTTAATCTTCATTTATAATCTCAGTCCTGACATTGGCCTTAAATGCCCCGGCCAGAGCCAGTCTGAGCTCCAGGCCCAGCTTCAGTGGGATATTGGCTCTGTGCTGGGGGTTTGGTGGGCTCAGCTTTATTCTCATGTCTTTCCTGCTCCCTCCTAAGTGATACCATGTGCTCGGGAGACATGGCCTGGGGCTCAGGATATGGTTTGTAATTACAGAGGTAACGTCACTGAGTGGGGAAGAGGGAGGACTCTGGAGTCAGCCAGGACTCTACTGCGTGACCCCTAAACAAGTTATTCGGCCTCTCTGGGCTTCACGTTCTCATCTAAAAAACAACAACAAAAAGGAAGGTTTTGTGAGTCCCTACCTCATGAGGTTATTAAATGACACGTGCAAACCAGCTGGCATGGCCTGCCACATTGATGGCCAGGATCCCTGGTGACTCTTCCTGTTAGGAAGTACTCCATCTAAAGGCTGACCTGGTTTGAGGCCATTAGCACACAGAGTGGGCTCATCCATGCACAGAGCAAAGCCACAGGGCTTTTTCATTTCAGAAATTAAAATTCTGTTCAGTGGTGCTGTTTGTTAGTTTTCTAGCCCATTGATTTTTCTTTCACAATAACACCTGGGTTATTCAGAACCTCCCAGGGAACACCAGACTTCCAGGATTCTTGAGGATGACTATAATTGTTTTCTAGAGTGTGCTGCAGATTTCCTGCCTTTATCAACAGAGCCCGTGCATTCTCCCCGGCTTCTTGTGAGACACGTGCCAACTCTCCCCAGCTTCTTGTGAGACACATGCCAACTCTCCCCAGCTTCTTGTGAGACACATGCCAACTCTCCCCATCATAGCCTCAGCCCAGGGAGCCCCTTATCGCCCTTGTCCTTGACTAGCTGTCCAGGCTGCTGGTCCTTCTCTGGTCCTTGGGTCTGCGTTTTGCTGGTTTTCCGTCTCATTCTTAGGTGGCTGCAGTTTCCCAATGTGAGGATGTTTGCCATGAGCATTCCCTTCCCCGTTTTCTAATTTCCCAGACTCATATCCTGTGAGCTGGG